GGTTTACATTGTATAAGATTGTATTAAATTAACTATTAAATGAAATTAGGTTTTTTAATATTGAAGGCATTTTTTCATTTATTAGTTTTTGTTTTATAATAAGATATAGTTTAAACTATAAGATAAGATTATTTTATTAATAAATAAACATGGTAAACAATTTTATTAAACATATTTTAATAATTTTAATACTTAAAATAATATATATATAGTTCATGTTAGAAAACATATTTTTGTTAATTTTTTTTTGTCCATATCATAATCAAAAGGAATTTCTATTAAATGTAATATATGAGACATTTAGAGAGTCATCTTTTATCAATAATTTTAAAATATACAATTTATCTTACGTAAACTCAATCTTATTTAATATATCTAAGAGATTCTTAATTATATGTAATGTATCTTATTGTCATTAGCTTGAAATATTTTTTCATATATAAATCACTCAGGGTGGGAGTTGAGCAATTATTATGTATATGTAAATTTCTAAAATATGTAACTTTTATCAACAAAAATAGAAAGAGCAAACCTCTTATGAAAAATACAGACTAAGTGGACAAGTAGTGACTGATTGGAGAGATCACTTCTGCAGTCCAAGGAAAAACGAACTGCATAGCACTTTTTTGCATTGTTTTATGATTTTTTTTTTTCTTTTTGGAACAGTTGTAAATTGTGAATTTTTTGGCAGTAAATTCATGGTAGCCCTTTTTCTTTTTTTTTTTTCTTTTTCTGCCATGAATTTTCATGGTAGTCATTTGATGCTCATTTGACCTGCTTGAATCGCAATCACAGATTTTTTTTTTCCCTTTTAGTAACTACCATTTTTGGATGCAGTGAGAATTCTACCATTTCATAAATCTCAGTATCTCATTATGTCGAGCAAGAGTCAAAATCTTTCCTTTCATGAATCTTTATAATCCAATTCTCTGTTTAACTTGGACGTTGTGCTGGGGTCTATATCATTTTCGCTTTGAATACATTCCAATTGAGATTTGAATAGATTTCTTTTAAAGTCAAAAGCATTTTTCAAAAAAATATATTCAACACCATCAACTATGTAGTATAATAATTAAGTTATTTTTATTCTTAGCCACGATCAATAGTCTCTACATACCAAATATATAATATATATGTTCCGACCTAATTTCAAGTTCTATAATTTATAGATAAATTATTCTTCAAGTAGGTCAAACAGAGAAAAAAAAAAAAAAAGTTGAACTCACCTTGAGACTGTGAGTGGTCTATTTCAGAAGATGCAAATTCCAAATCCCAATCCCTTCCTTTCCCCAATAGGCCAAAGAAGCACATATTCTGTGCATGACAATGGCAGAATCCAACCGTCCATAATCTTCAAGATAAGCAGAAATCAACCCCAAAATGAACAAACAACAAAAATTTACAGTGTTATAGCACAAAATATTCAGTTCAGCTTGATCTCTTGCATCTTGCTAGTTATCCTAGAGTTCTTCTGCATGAAAATTTGTTTTAAAAATGATAACGAAGTTGAACTCTTTTATTCACTTTGTGAATGGTCAAAATTAATCAAAATGAGATCCTCTATACCATAGGCTACTTGGCCTCTGAGGGAATCTTTAAAAGCACATCAGCAGAGCAGCGAGGAGCTGACATACCATGGCAGCCGAGGTAGCTAGACGTTCAGTCTCTCTGTCTGGATGAAGTGGTTCTCATTCCTTTGCCAATTGGTCAAGTCTAGTCACAACATTCTGGGCTACTTCACTGTATGCTTTGGAGACTTGAGATTCTGGGGCTGATATTACTATAGGTATGCCTTCGTCACTGCCTTTCCTCACCTCCACTTCAATGGGTATCTGAAAGGGAAGATGAGATCATTGGAAAATTTGTAGAATTGAGTACATAGCGAGCATGGAACAACTATACTTCGATTTAGCAACAAAGAAGACTAAATGAAATCATCAATAGGTCTTCATTTGAAAGAATGAAAGGTTCACATGCTTCCTTGCAATTGCTGGGAAATAAAGCAGAGCCTCTATCCATTGTTTGCTGACTCATGCATTCACAAAAACATTTTCATTCATAACTACATTCAAGGGCTCTTTAACTCCTCCCATAGTTCAAGGTGGTGCAAATTGTCACTCCATAGCTTGGTTCAGAACCTAGAGCTAGGAATTGTCCTGATGGGCACAGAACATAAACTCACCAGAATAGTTGAGAAAATTTACTTAAAACAACAAATGAAAGTTACTTCATGCTTTCATGGAATCAGGTCACTCTACTCCAGCAAAATACAAGATGTCAAAGGAGTTCTTTTAGTTACAGAACCCATAAGATCGTTAGGATTTAATCATCTTCTTCCATTTCAATTGTATCCATCAATCAGCTTGGAAGTGCTGATGTCAGATTCCTCAAACTAAAGATAATAAAGGCAGAGAAAAGGATTTTACAGGAATCAGATACGGTGATTTTTAAGCACTTAATAGTTCATACTTACCAGCTACAGAAACTATTTACTTTAAATCTAAAACAACCAAAACAACAATAACATACCTCACCAACAATTTGCAAACCCATTTCATCTGCGGTTTTACGAGTCCCACCCTCCCCAAAAATGAATGAAGGTTTGCCACAGTGTGGACACTTGAAGCAGCTCATGTTCTCTACAAGCCCCAAAATCTGTAAAAGAAGCCGCTGTTGGCAGGAGGGAAATACGAATTTAAGTTCCTACTCTATATGCAGAATATCACGGATGCAGTACTGCTATTTCTAGCAGTTATCCAGCACCATGGACAGGAATTGCATGAAAAATAAACATGCATGCAATCACATAATTGTAAAACCACATGCTTCTATGAGCAAATTAACTCAATGCTGAAATGAACTGCTGCAGAGCAGTGCTTTACTGATACTATATGAGAAAAAATTTCATAAAGTCACAATTAGTACTAGGAGGTTTGGCTGCTTGGGACATCTCTGATCCAGAGTGCTATTTCAAAAATTAAACTTCTGAAGTTGAAAGATAAGAACCCTACTCCGTAAAGAAGAGAGTTTTAACCAACAATATTAACATACTGAATGACATTTAGAGGATGCATTGTTCAGAATTGTTCCAAAGTATCATGGAAATCATTGTGAAAAATGCAATAGATGTCATGTGAATGTTTACAGAATGTTTGACCAACTAAAGTTAGTACTCATACAAAATTTTGAACAAACATCACATGCATATTAAGAGCACATCCAGAGAAAAAAAATTAAAAAAGCTGATCTTACAGGGACTCGAACTTTGGAGAACATGTTAACTCCCCTGCGAGCATCAATTAAGGCAACATCTTGTGGAGTTGAAACAATTAAAGCTCCTGCCAGAAAATTAACAATGATTATGAACCATCAAACCAAAAATTTTGAAGCAATTAATTATGAAAAAACAAGCAGAGAGAATCATTTCTCCCCTGCAGTAAAATTGATATCTTGTAAGTCCAAGTTCACAAGATTTTGTTATGATATCAACTTTGAAGCATGAATCCTTAAATAAATTTACAAGAAGAAGGTACCTGATAACTGGAGCCTCTGGGACATGGTTAACTGTGCATCACCAGTCCCAGGTGGCATATCCACCACAAGAATATCAAGATTTCCCCAATCAACTTCTCTTGTCATTTTCTGGAGAGCACTCATCACCTGCAGGATACTTTAAATATTCAAGAAAAGCAGTTATAAGGTAAATGAAAGTAAAATATGTAATCAGGCCAGAAGAATTAGTTGTTTATTTTTAGGTGTATCTGTATGAAATTTAAGCAATCCTTCTTTCCTACACAAAGAGTGGGCTGTATCAGAGCACTGAACCTCAATGGATTAAAAAAGGTTATCCTCTGCAAGAAATTGTAAAGCTTATGAATTTATTATGAGGACCCTGTTAAATAGAAAGAATTTGTTCAGATTTATTGAACGATTAGTACTACATTACTTTAGCAGAGGATAATACCACATGTGAAACCAAACAGTAAGTGAGACACACATCTAAAAGTTGCAGTACCAGCTCTGGGAAGTCCAGAACACATCTAAAAGTTGCAGTACCAGCTCCTGGAAGTCCAGAACTAAGTACAACCAACATAAAAATGATAATTCAGGGACTCAAACTCAGTTGCTCTTAAATTTGAAACTAAGATCAACTACTTTACCTTGGGCTCAACTTTACAAAATTTGAGGGCTGGGTAGTCGAGCCCAGTAATTTTTGAAAGAAAATCATTCTTATAGGCAAGAACGATGGTCAACAGAGAAAAATAATAATAAGGTGATATACCATGGGACCTCTCCAAACAATCGGTGCATCCTTATCCACAAGAAATCCGATTGACATGCATTTTACTCCATAGTTCTGAATAGGAACCATCTTCATATCTGTGAATGAGATGAAGAGATGTTTCATGAAAATCATATCCAACTAACATGCAATAAGCTGGAAGCAGATTAAGCTTAAATAACATGCATTCAGGAGAAAACATAAATAGAAGAAAACAGAAGCTCATCAGGAAAAGTCGATGATGATAAATGTCTCTAGTCTCTATAGAAGCACAACCTTTAGTCACTTCTGGCTTCTGGTGGATCTTCATCATAGTTGGAATGGATGGTCCATATACATCAGCATCAAGCAAGCCCACTTTCAATTGAAACTTGTTCGCAAGTGCAACAGCCAAATTAACTGCAAAGTTGCAAATTCAAATTCTATCAATAAGTCCAAACAACAGTTGAATAAAGATATAAGAATCTTTGTATTTACATGTCAAATTTTTATCCAAGCAAAGCTGTAAGATAAAAGTTATCTAATGATACTTGAATTCTAAGAAGTCACAGATTCAAAAAGCATTGTCTTTGAGCTTTATCACTTCACGTATATTCGCAAACTAGTAACACATTCAGGAAGCATCCTTTAGTTACATTCCCAGCTCCAGTTTTCTCTAGCTTGATAGAAAAGAAAAGTGGAAGAGGAAAATGTTTAGGAGAAATGGATGCTCTTTACCAACACTACAGCAATTATACAGGCCAATTTTTTTTTTTTTTTTTTCCTAGGGCAGCACTTGAGAGGACCCTCTTGTTCCAAAATTTTTCCACTTCAGCTAAAACCCACAAAGCCAAGTATATAAACAAGAAACTGCACACGAGCTTAGCAGTCATTACCGACCCAAAAGCCCGTAATTCAGTTTCTCCAAGTCAATGCAATCACGTCAAAGACCCAATTACCAAGTTTCAGAATGCATAATCCCCATCAACAATTTTCAAAATGAAAAAGGGAACCAACCCAAAAGATACCTGCTGTTGTAGACTTGCCAACGCCGCCTTTACCGGAAGCAACAGCAATAACATCCTTGACCCCCTTTATACGCAGCTGATCGCTGCTTAACACAGAGTACCTCTTAAACCCTCCAAGCTTCTGCTCAGACCCATTTCATCAAACCAAACAACAATGAGCTCTTCTCAACAAGAAAGAAAGCACAAAGTGAAAACCAAAGGAAGACATGTAAAGCTCGGAGCTTCTATCTTACAGTAAGGGATCGCAGTAAGCCCTTCATGAATCCTAACTCAGAAGAAAGCAAGAAATGTTGAGTAGTGTTTCGAAATGCCAGAATCCGTAATTCTGTCTGGCACCGTGGGAGATGAAGAAAGGCCCATGGGATGGAATACAACAATGCGGCTTGCGGTCAAACGGCCCATGTGGTTAAATTGTATTATAGTCCCTAACCTTTTTTTTTTTTTGTACTTATCTATCGTATCGGGTAACTAAAATCCGATAAATCTAAAATTGAACCACATTAGATTCTATTAGGAAAAACTCTTCTAGTGTTTATTTTTTCATTTATAAGATTTAAATTCGAAACCTTATTTAAGAAAAATTGAGTTTCTTACACTTAGACCAATAAGTTATTGGTTATAGTCTCTAACCTTTTAATATAGTTCAATCATGCCCTATTCTCTTTAATCCTTGCAGCTGGGTCTCTAATGTTTTCTACATTTTTTACATTTTTTTTTTTTTGATATATTAGAACAAGTGGATCAAACTTGTGGGGGAAAGAGGATGGGGAGGAAGAGCACATGATCGAGCTTTTGTCATAAAACTGTGAAAACTTTTTAAATTAGTGACAAAATTACTTTTATTATTAAGATTCTACACCACTATAAATTACTCCTATTAATGCACAAATACATCACCATCATCAAAGAGTAAACACAATCTGCACAAATTAAAACTATTACCCATAACATTTAAGTCATAACTTATAAGGCACTCTTCTCCACTAAGGGAAAGACTTCATTAGAATGAATGGATCAATTATTAGATCATTAATCTTTTGCTCTTCTACTTATATTCATGATGGTTTTAAAAATAATTCCTTTATTTTCCTGTTTCACTAATAAAATGATAAAAGTTTGTGCCTACTAACATACAAAATTTGATTTGGGATCAAATTAGATGTTTAAATTTTTACCATACCGAATAGATAAGATTCAATATACCAAAAGAAATAAAAAATACTTTCACTATTTATATAAACAATTTTTTTGCAATAAGTCTTGATCTTGTAGTTAAAACAAAGCCATTAAGTTAAGTCTTAGGGTTAAGTCTTGTGATGTGTGAATTTAAGGTTTTTTTTAGGATCATTGATAAAATATCATGACTAGTAAGTTATTTATATGAAACTAATAAAGTTGAATTTAATTTTAAATGTGGTGAGCAAATAATATTTTGAGTATACTTACACATTAAATAAATTAAGGCTTTGTTTTGAAACACAGGCAAGACAATCTCATCGATTCGATCAGATGGAGATGTATTCATGCTAGAACAAGATCCATAAATAATTCCCTTTCCATAAACTCCTCAAAGAATCCAACCCCTACCAATAAGGAATGCTAACCACATCCTTGAGTACTCTTGTATCATTTGAATGGCACCAAAAGATTAAATCATTATCACCATTTTTAGAGGAGAGAACCTAATCGAACCATGCTTAAAAATGTAGAGGATAACCAATAATGCAAATTATCATTTATAAATCAGGATTTATTTATCTAAATTTTCTCTTTTGCCCATTAGATTTAAGATAAAGGAAGACAGAGGAAAGTCAAAAAAAAAAAAAAAGAGAAGAAAAGAAAAAAAGAGAGAGAAACAAACAAGGGAGAATGGAAGAAGAATTGAATTGCAATCGCAAGGACAGATGGACAAAGAGACAATGAACAACGAAGGTCCAAAAATCATTAAGATTAGCATGCTGCACCTGTCAACTCGGCAGCATCATAGCGTATTTTGCTTATTTTTAGTCCAACAGAAAGGAGAAATCTTTAAGCTTTCCTTTATTTGGCAACAAAACAAATCAATGCAGTCTGTTTCAACGGTCAGTCCTTTACCTCGACGAGCACTTTCCTCTCCCCTACCCCTTTTTTTCTTCACCACACCATCTTTCATGCCAATTCTTCCCCTGCTTCCCTCTCCATTCCAGGTACGCATGCATTTCCCTCTGGTTTTCTCTCGTTGTCAATGGAGGTTTTTGTTCTTCTAATGCTGAACTCGAGTTTCAGTATGAACCCCATATAGGAATTATTCTTCATATTGTATATCTTTTTTTTTTTTTATATATTATTTTTTAATTTTTTATGATTCATTCATATTGTATATCTGTTGTTGGTTAATTCGAGACTATGAATGAGGATTTCAGTTTTTTTTTTTCTTTTTGTTAGCTTTGTCTCTTGATTGGATAATTGTGTTTCGTTTTTATTTCATGTGGGTTCTGCTTAATGGGTTTGGTTATTTGATTTCAATGTAATTGAAAGTTGTCATCTTTGGTTGATCCTAGCATTATGGTGGACAGTTGTGTTGGTTGGAGTTTCATTTTCTGCTTTTAATTCTGAATTATTTACTTGTCCTTTCTGACTAATTCTTAAAAAAAGAAAAAAGAAAAAACAGTTTGTAGTTTCCTTGTTCTTTAATATCCGTCTCTTTTAGATTCCTTGGAATTTACCTACTTGTTGATGTTTGTGAGGGTTTGGTCCATGTGCAAAACATCCGAAATTTTTTGCTCCTTTGGTCATAGGCACCTGGTTTGTTTCCTGCCTTTTTGATTTCTTTGAAAAGCTTTCTTGTCAATTTCAATCCAGCATAAATTCACACCTTGGGTTTTATTCTTTTCTAGAGATGGACTTGGTTTTTTAGAGACTTTTTAACCCTTTGCTCCAATTATTGCTGAATTAATTGATTTTTTTCTTCCTGGTTCAGCATTAATTTGGAGATGGGATTCTCAGCTCTTCATTGCATCGTTTGGAACTGCTTCACAGATCGTTTAAGGCTTTTCATCAGTCATCCCGTTCTGAACCTTGAGGTATCCTAGTGCAATTTTGGTGGAAATGGCTGCAAACCATACTTCATTTCTTAAAGCACAGAGGAATGTGCAGGGGTTTACAGCAGTCTTAACAAATACAGCTTGTGAATTGTTTTTGATCTTTCTATTGCTAGTTGATGGTGTCTTTTCATACCTGCTTACAAAATTTGCACGTTATTGCAAATTGCAAATACCTTGTATTTTCTGTTCCAGGCTTGATCATGTCTTAGGCAATGAAAAACCTGGATTCTATTGGAATTTAATTTGTAGCAATCATAGATCAGAGATATCATCTTTGATTTCCTGCAACGTTCATGGCAAGCTTGCTGATGGCTTTGGAATGTGTGAAGATTGTCTCCTATCATCTGCCATAAAAAACAAATCAAAGTCAGATATGAACAGGTTGTTTCTGGGTAAGTTGGGGTTTAATCTTGGTGGTTGTGGAACTTGTAGGTTCCCGAGCTTGTTTCTCAACAGGGATTTTGTTGCTTCTACGATCACAAGGTTGTGCCTATGTTGCAATAAGCCTTGGGCTCCAAGAAAAAACTGTCAAAGATTAATCCAGCTACAATCATCTGAGATTGAAGTAACTAAGCCTAATATTCCCTTGCCATGTCACTTAAGCCAAGGGGCAAGCTCGAAGACGACAAAGGATAAGTTTTCAGGGCCAGTGACATCTTCTCATCTCAGAAGAAATGATAGTGATCCCTTGCCTCATGCAGGATACACCAAGCTGAAAATCGATTCTGAGTCAGAGTCTGAGGTCCCATTTTCTGATGATGATGGTGGTAGAAGCATATTTTGTGATATAAATGAACATAATGAAGAATCTGTAGTTCATTGTGCTCCAGAAATTCCACCCAAAAGAGGCTCAAACAATTTGGCTCCAAAAATGCAGCCCAATGCTAGTGAATCTCGTGATGTGAAGTGTTTGGCTCCAGATATTGTTATGGGGTGTGATGCCTGTGAACTTAACTGGCAGCAGGCTGATCAGAAAGCCAATCTAGCTGCACTGCCAGAGCTCATTTCTCTGGATCATATTCCTCCCTCATCCAGAGATGCTGAAGTTCCTTATAGAGTATTATCACCTATCTACCATAATGATTCTGTAATGTCTGACCTCATTTCCTTAGTTGATCCTCCTCCATCAATTGATGTTAAGGAAGTGAACTGCTGTGCATTACCAGAGAAATGTAAGCTCCCTATCTGTCTGTCATACTTGTCTTTTTTTGTGTATACATGCATGCACGTTTGTTATAACCGTCTCATCTAAAATGTCTTACAGCAGCATATGTTACTGTCACAAGTGAAGTAGAAAATATTTCCATCAACAAGAATGAGGAAATCTTGAAGGTGATAAACACAACAACTGGAGCAGGATTTAAAGCTGATGAACTTGTAAGTAATGAGGATCCAAGTGATGTGTACAAGTCATCTGTCAATGTTAAGGAAAAGAAAATGTCAGAAATTCTTGCACAACAACCTCAAGTGAAGTACAATAGTGGATTAACTGAAGATTTGAGGTTATTGCTTGTACAAGATTCTTGCAGTCAAGGGATTCACTCATCATTTGACAATTTAGGTCCTAAATCACAAGGTCTTGGGGTTGATTTGCATACAACTGATGAATCAAACTCTGATGGGATCAAGAATCTTGACGACACAATTTTGGTGGACAGTCTGGATGGGAGCAGTGTCAGTGAAATTGAAGGTGAAAGTGTTGTTGATAGGCTGAAGCGGCAGGTTGAGTATGATCAGAAGTGCATCAATTCTTTATATAAGGAATTAGAGGAAGAGAGAAATGCTTCAGAAATTGCTGCAAATCAAGCAATGGCCATGATTACAAGGTTGCAGGAGGAGAAGTCAGCACTCCATTTGGAGGCCATGCAGTACCTAAGAATGATGGAAGAGCAAGCAGAATATGATGGAGAAGCCTTGGAGAAAGCAAATGATCTTCTGGCAGAAAAGGAGAAAGAAATACAAGATTTGGAAACTGAGTTAGAGTTTTGTAGGTTATATGTACTTGATAAACCGCTAGAGGAGACCATACCTGTGGAAAGTGTTGATTTGAAGGAGGAAAATCTATCTGTAAATGATACCAGCATATCATGTAAGGAGGAGGATGCAAGTGTTCACCAGAAATCAGTGTTTCCTGAGGCCTCTGAAGGCTGTGATTCTCCTTCACTTGCCTCATCATGGGCAGACTTTGTGGATGAAAAGTCCTACATCTCTGAACGTCTTAAGAATTTGGAGAGGAAACTTCAGAAGTTTGCTTATCAACGGACTTTGTCTTACATACCAGATGGTGACTTTTCTGAAGAAGCAGCAGACATGGGGGGCTATCGAGGAGAGTTTATTGATGAAAATGATAAACAAATAAGTTGTCAGATGAAAGACAATGGTTTGGCAGTGCAAAAAGAATTACTGGCATCTAATGGAAGTGCTACTCATGAAGGGTCCAATGCTTCAATTTGCAGAAGTGAAGTTGGTAGCAAGGAAAACGGTCATATTGTTCCCAATGGACAAAATGGTTTTAAATCTTGTGAACAAAATGATCTGGTACCTCTGGAAAATGAAGTTTCAGACCTCAATGACAGGTTGGAAGCACTTGAGGCTGACTTTAATTTTCTTGAGCATTCTATAAATTCTCTTCAAAGTGGAAGTGAAGGGCTATGTTTTGTTCAAGATATAGCTTATCAACTGCAAGAACTGAGGAAAATTCGGATAACGAGAAAAGGAAGACCTGTTTCAGGAGCTTACACACATCATTACTAGGTAAGCATATAGAAGTAGAATATATTGGTGTTCTGAATTTTTTCTTTTTATTTTTATTATTATTATTTTTTTAATTTCTGACATTACCTCATCTGAATGTATGTCCCAAAGCACAGCCACCCCATTTTTATAGATTATTCACATCCAGCAAAAAGATTTCTGCTTGTCTTGACGAATTAGGCAAAAGTTGCTCTTTGTTCCTTGTATTAATGAACTAGAAATGCTGCCTGCATGTATATTTTCCTGTCAATTGCTTATACTTAATGGTTCATGCCTTTTGTCTTTTCACTTCTGTAGCACTTAATATTCTATAATTGTGGATCTGCATATTTTCAGGTTCCACACAGATAATGCCAGATGAGTAAAAAATCTTTAATCTATTAGATAACTAGCTAATTTCTGAGGCCAAGTTATACCTGTCATCAATTTGGAACAAGACTAAGTAGCCATCAGAATTCTCCAAACTTAATTGTTAGACTAATTCTACTTCTTGTGGAATTAATAATAATAGCAAACTCAGCTGCTGCATCAAGAATTTGTGGTAATTTGACAAACCAAGCAAGATGATTCTGTTTTCTTTGCAATATAACTTCATAATGTTCATAATATACCTTTTCTTTCAACCCTTTTCAATTCACACTGCATTTGCTAGCAATCATCATTCTTTCTCATTTTTACATCACAAGATTTTACTTCTCACTTTATCTCTGTATTTGCAGTTGTGCTGCATACAAAACAGATGAAGGAAACCAGCCATGGTACTGAGAACCAAGATTGTTATCAGCTAGAATTTGATGTGAAAACTGAAGAAATGAAACCTGTATTGCATAGCTTGCCAGGATGTTATTATATTATCTAGGTATGGCTTTGCATACACGCACCATCTCCATTTCTTGGAACAACAGAATGATATATGGCCCAGGACTTTATCTTTATTGGACTTTGTAACTGAAGTTTACCAATTTCCACTTCCTTTTATCTCCCTTTTGTGGGTCTTTATTTTGGAGCGGTGATCATTACGTTGTACGTTGGGTGGGATTTCAGTGATTTTTTTTTCCCATTTTCAAGGTTTGTATACAGCAGCCAACCTGTGTTGCAATTGTAAATTCATGCAGATTCTGGACTCATTTCCTCATCATAGCATCGAAAGGAGAGATTTCATATATTTTTTTTCCTTTGGCCTTGAAAGAAACTTAGTCAATTTCTTATCGGATAATTTCCATTCTGATCCGAAATATGTCTCCATTGGATATGTTTGGTCTCAGGAAAAGTCACTTACTTGAGGGCTAAGATCACCCATTTCCTTAATTCATTGCTTTCGTAAGTTTTTGACCTTTTCCATAGCTGCTCATTTTCGTGATTTCGTGTTAATTACTCAAATTCTATCCATATGTTCGTGTAATTTTTTGTCTCTTTGAGTTTTGACTTTTGACAAATAACTTAATTTTGAAGCTGATGTTAATGTTACTCATCTGTTGTGGGATGAGTCATTTTTTAACTTCTTCCTAGAGTAAATGATAGGTAGATAACTTTTTTTGTATGTATTTTATTTACGACTTTTACATTTAATTAAATAAGTAGTAGATTATATAATGTCACAGTTACTTATAAAGTAACAAAAAAAAAAAAATAATACATAAAATTGAATGAAAAAATTATACAAAAAATTACCCCTCAATTATTTTCCTTTTTTTTTATTAGAAGTTTACCTTAAAATAATTATAGTAAACTACGGAATAACAATAGGTTAATGTAATCTTAATTGTATGTTTTGGGTGGAGAATGCTTGGATTGAGGGGAATGGGAGGAGGGGACGGTAAAGTTATTTAATCAATCAAATTATAATGTTTTTAAAGCATTATAATTTGATTACTCCAAAAAGCTTCTCCTTCTCTTCCATTCTATTCAACCCAAATCTATAATAAGGATTAAATTCTTTGTTAAGTAAGTTTCATTTTATAGGTTAGGTTTAAGGTTTAAATCTTAGAATTAGCATTCAAGGAAATTAATTTACTTGAAATTGGTGTGAGGGTTGCATCTTTAAGATAGCCCTTGAAGCGATCAGTTTCAAAATATACAAAAACTAATTTAAAAACATTTTAACCATAAATAAAAAAAAGTTAATGTAGAAAAATATTTATTTTCCTTAAAACATGAAAAACAAGAAATGAGAAATAATAAATTTTGAGTAAAAAATTAGAAATTGATATTATGGATTGAGGTTATTGTAACTATTAAATTTATTAAGACTAGTAATTTCATTATTTTATCAACTTTTTAGTTATAATATTTAAAAATATTTATTTATAAATTAATTTTAATTTATTAAATAATAAAAAATAATTATTTTATTAATTATTAATTACTTTTAAAAATTAAATTAAAATAAAATTTTAATTTTTTTCGACATCCACAAATTTAACCATGACCAGGCAATATTTTGGGATATAACTACTTGTTGCCGGGAATTTTCCTTATAAAAATAAAAAGATTCGGTCCAAGATTCCTTTTTAAATTATCTAAATGTGACTTGGCGCAAAAGAAAAAAAAGGATGCGGTTGACTGGAGTTTTTTTATTTTTTTTTTTGAACAGTTTTCACAAGGCCTGGGTCGAACCCAGGCCAGGGGTGAGAGAAATGCACTTGAAGTGGTTATTATCACTTGGTTTGAAAGGTTCGGTGTAAAGTTTTTTTATTTTAACTAGTACAATTAAAGGATAAAAAATAAAATTTTTAAAATTTAAATATTAAAATTTTAAATATTATTATTCTTTTCAGAAGAATTATAGCCATTGCGTTGATGAGGTTGACTGAAATTTGAATGTAGGGATGGGGAAGACACAGCAAGGTTCTGACATGGTGTGAAACTTGATTAAGGCATGTTTAGTACAGCCTATAGAAGGATTATTTTCGTTTGAAAAGTATAAATTGCATCAAATATTATAGTAAATAAAAAAATATTATAATTTTTTATAAATTAATATTTTTTTTTATTTTATTATAAATTTCAATTGATGCTTTTACAAGAACTTCTCATTTAATTTTTAATAAAATTAACATATTATTATTATTTTATTTTTAGTTTTTATTTATGAAAATAATATTTCTACAATAGTTTTTTTTCAATAGAACAGTTCAAGTTACACCAAATTGATACTAAATAATGGAAGAAGGTTATAAAATTATTCAAAAACAAAAGACAAATTGGAGTTTTGAACTAGAAAAAATTATACTTGTCAAAGATTTGAATAATTTAAAAATCTTAAAACTCAAAGTTAAATTTTAATGTGGACACATACTTTCCACACAAATTGACTCAGTGTTAGGTAACTGTTTTAAAAAGGTCTCCACATAAAGAAAAAAAAAAAAAAGTCAAAACAAACAAAACTTAAGATTTAAGGTTCTAGCTTAGGGCAATTGATTTTTTGGTGGGACATAAGAGGAAACTTTCAAGTTACAGCGATACAGCCAAAAGTCAGATCTTCAAAGGGTGGGGTATCACTTGCCATTCTACCTTTAACATCAACCCTTCAAAACAGCATTTAAATTAGTAGTACATTTTATTTTTTTTTTTGTTTGCAAGGTCATGGTATTTTCAAATTAATTTTTAAAAATGTTAAGATTAATTAATTTCTCTTAAAATAATTTTGAAAGTATTTCTTCACACAATTTGATTTATTAAAAAAATTAATTTTTTTAAATACTAACTTTAAAATTTGAATTATCTTACAAAATAATATTTATATATTAATAAATTCAACACTTAACCTTTTATAATAGTGCAAGAGTTTAGTTATTGAGAAGATCGAACTAAATTTTTTTTAATATATTTGATGATAAGTGATATAAAAAATTTACTTTTTAAAAAAATTGTTTTCATTTAACTTAAAATTTAAATATAAAATTCTAAACTTTTAATTAATTAACTCATCTCTTTAAATAGACTGTACAAGAAATAAAAATACAAAACCCCCAGTAACGTACTTTTTTAAGATA